TTGCTTGCTAAAAGTACAAAAAATTTGTCCACTCATAGCCGACTCACATGCAAAATTCAACCTGTCACACATGAAGACACAAACGTCTCTCTTCCTCAGCTCAGTCATTGCTGGAGAGGCTGACCCACAGGATCATCTTCAAACTGGACGACGCGGCGCTCGAGATCATCTGCGGACTGTACGGGAGGAACCAGAAACTGAAACTGACTCCGTCAGACGTCCAGTTTCTCCAGCCGCCGGGTGCCACGCCCTCCCGACAGCTGCGAATCCTCGTTCCTCTGTGGGTCAGAGAGATCCACGCGCTATTCTTTTACTTTTTACAGGTATGCTGCTCCCTCCCTCTTCCTTCCCATACACACAGCTTTAAGTTTCCACTGTATAAGCTGGTGAAGACTACTTCGTTTAATTGTTTGTTAACCCGCTCTAGTGCTTTTCATTAATTTTGATGTACACACTTGTCTTGTGTTGACACCCAGTTATTCATGCACACACCCACACAGTCGCTGTCAACGCTGGCTCTAAAACCAAAGTACGCGTCGCAGGAGACTCACATACGTTTCCAAGTGCCTCAGAGTCTCCAGAATATGTGTCTGAGTGCAGGTCTCCCGGCTGAGCTCCATCAGGACCTTCTCTTTCTCTACATCAGACCTCACACTCAGGGCAGAGGTAAATGCTCTATACTTAACACACTCTCAAGGCATGTGCATGCTCTGCATCTTAGATAAGTCCATATGTATGTATCATAGTAGTAGACCAATTGGTACATACTGATACAGGTCACCTGCCCCACATTTCCAGAGATCTTAGGAATATACGTATAGTCTGGTTCTGTTTGTGTGCTGCCTCCTCCTTTCAGGCATGGCTGTTTTCTCGGTGTCGCTGGCCGACTCCAGCGGTCGTCTAGTGCCGCCGCAACCCAGCGAGGTGTCGCCACGCGAGGGAGGGTGGAACCCTGCCAATTTGGACCTCACTCTCTCGGTGTGCGCCCAAGGAACTGAGGCAGTACTGGAGGACGACCAGGAGTCTCCGGACAGAGGTTTGTGTATAGCCTGTTTCCAGTACCAGATTGGTCTTGTTCGATAAGGCTTAAAGTTATCTTCACTACACAACACAAGGTATAAAAAAAAAAACACAAAACTGTGTGCTGTGGGACAGAAACCCTGTTACATAATATTATGAGCATGTGAGCTTACTGAAAGATGGTGGTGCACAGAAATATAGATGAAGGCATATGAGAATTTTAGTACGATTTGAGAAGGGTTAGAAATAGATTTTTAGAAATGCTCTGTATGTTGTCAAGAGAGTCTGTGTTTTGTTGTATTCATGGCAAATACTGCTGTAGATGAAGGGTACCAGCTGAAGATTGACATATGGGAAAAAGGCAACGTCGGAATCACTGATCTATCGGCAAAGCTCCACCTCTGTTTGAAACAGGCTCTCTGCGACCACATCTTGGAGTTGTACTTCCTACCGCAACCGATTGCTCGTATCGACGAAATGCTTCAGTTTGAAGACTCTCCCTCGGCTACTAGTCCGTTTGTCGTCCTCGAGCCATCGCCTCCGGAGCCCTCCCGCAGAGAATCGCTGGACTCCCCACGGAGAACTCTCTTTGAAAAGGGCGAGGTCCGAGTCCCTAGCGCGCTGGGTTTTTTCCCACAGCGTTCCCACGAGAGTGGCGGGGTACTGTCCCCCGATACCCCTGTTCAGGGCGAACCTCACCGGTCCCGCTGTGACACTGTCTCCGTAGCTGCAGCCATGGACGACGTATTCCACTCACTGGACACCTCGGGGAAGGACGACACCACTTTCGATCCACCGTCCGAAGTGGCGTCCTCCACTGCTGGGCTCGAAGCTGCGTCGTCCACTGCAGGTCTTACGTGGCAGGAGAAGGAGCTGAACCGGAGAGAGACGGAGGCAATAGACGCCTACCAGAGGGAGGCTCACCACGGGAGACAGGGAGTCCTGGAGAACACGTATAGCTCTCTCATCCCGCAGCATTTCGCGGAGACTCGCCGACTCTCTTCGCGCTCCGTGGCACACTATTCCTTCCCTCTCCTCGGGAGCTATTCCTCCGAAGTGTTTCTCAACGAGACACTCAGTTTCTGCAGTGTCCTCTGTCCAGACCTGAGCCTCAGTGTCTTTAGACTGGGCTCCAATGGTGTGTACGCTCACCACACCCCGCAGAAGACGTCGCGCATTCGATCGGCCGTCGAAGTGGAAGAGACAAAGTTTGTTGCTGTCGGAAGGAACCTGAGACAGTGGGACGAGGCTCGCTCGCCAGATGTCGTGGAGATCAGGCTCACTCAGGTACAGATAGAGAGTAGTGCGTAACGCTAACGTAAAATGTTCGTGTGGATTTTCAGGAAGCGTTAACCCTCTGGAAAGTCGATGGGTGGACCTTGTGCAGAGGGCTAGGTGAAAGTGAACATAATTATTATGCCTTGATCCATGTATTTAATTATAGCCAACTCGTTGTGGAACTGCATGCATGATTGTGTAAACTCTATCTCCATCCCCGCCCCCTCCACCCCATGATCAGCCGTGGATTGATGCCCAGACGAAGCAGTCACTCCAGATGTTCCATCCTCTGGACTCTAAGAAGATCAGTAAGACTGTCGACTACCCTCTCACCAGCCTGGCCAAGGACAGACCCTGCTTCATCCCTCGCCAGAGACTCCTCCTCCTCTCCCTCTCTCACAAAATGGTGACCTCTCCCCCTCCCTGCCTCTTGCCAACTCTCTCTCTCTTTCTCCATTCTTCTATCTTTTGCTAGTCACAGTACTCAGAAACAGCAAAGCACAGAGTATCTCCTTCGCTTTTTCGTTAGGGGTCTGAGTATTTGAGACGTTTTTTTCCCCAATTATCATTTTACACTTCTTTTCTGCGGAACTCCCTCTTCGGAATTTTATCTCTCGTTTCTTCCCATCCTCTTCCTTGTGTTCCCTCACTTCCCCTTTGCTGCACAGGCTGAGCTGTGGCTGTACAACCTGTCTGAGGAACTGGTCACACAGATGAGAAACCGGTTGGACGGGTTGAACAAGTGGCAGCAGACGAGGGTCGGATTTCTCCATCACCTCCTGGCCCAGAAGATGGGGCTGTTTCAGCACACTCGCGCCCAGGACCTCCGCGAGTGGACGACACTTGCTGCCAAACACTGCTCCTCTCTGCAAGACACCGTAATTCTCTACAGGAACCCAGCTCCCGTTTCAACTGTACGTCTCTCTCTCTCCCTCTCTTCCTCTCGCCCTAATTTTCCGTATTGCAGACATTGATACTGAAAATGGGTGACTTGTCAAAGAATAATCATGGCAGTCAAATGCGAGAAACCTAATCTTAAGTCTTGATGCGCACAGTGATGAAAAAAATGCCCCAACATAACAATATCTGTTTTTCTTCTTCATCAGGCATCGTCTCAGCGTCAGCAACGTCCCCAGCCCATTCCGGCACTGGAATCGCTGTACCAGGAGGCGGTCCCGACAGGCCACACCCCCCACACCATGGACCCTGTCTACAACCACGGTCACCAGGTGAGGGAGAGCCACGCCCACTTCCGGAAGACCTACGAAAGCCGAGACTTGCTGGGGAAGGTGAGGAGGCTTATAAACTGGAGCAATGAAATTTGTAATTTGAACAACGTCCACCAAACTGCCAAATTTTCCCTTGTGATTTGGTGCAGGTTTTCACATCTTGGCCGAACCAGAGTGGGGCGGGAGCTGTGCCTGTTGAGGCCTCTCTCATCAGACAGCTAAAGAGACTCGCTCGTCTCCTTCACTTCTGCTCCTCCCGTCTCTCGCTCCGCCCACCTCCGGCTCCGCCCGGCCACACCCCCATGCCCGCCCGTACGGCGTGGTTCGACGGAATCCGCAACGAAGCCCTATCTCAGTACATACAGTATCTGAAGACGCTAAACTTTGAGGAGATCACCGAGCGGGCGTCGCCACAGCTTCAGCCGAGACGCGGCGGGGGCGGGAGCCACACCCCGACACGCCTTCCCCAGCCTTCCCCGCCCGTCTCTGCCCTCCCACACAAGTTTTACAAGTGCATGCAGCGATCGTGGACACACGGAATAATTCTCGTCGAGCTGACGTTTGTTGAGGAGAGATTCGATGTCAAACTACTGACACTGGAGAGCTCAAGACTCAACGGACAGAAATCTCTCAATCCTGAAGTAAGTTATATCGGTCACCCACACCAAATTTTACGTTTTGTTAATTTGTAGTTTCATTTTACGACCCCCGCACACACATGAAAACGCTTCCAAGTAGAGGCTGCCATTTTGCGTTTTCAATTATATTAGTTTACCATTTAATCACGCGAACTGATAATTTTACACTTATTTCCCATTGAGTGGCAAACACTTTAAGTTAATCACTTTCCCTCTCTCTCCTCTCCTCTCTCTCCTCAGGCCCACAGTCTGTTCTCCAGTGAGTGTGCCCGCTACAAGGACCTCATCCACCTCCACTCCTTCATGCACGACTTCCACCTCGGCGTGGTGCTGGGGATGGTGAGCGGGGAGAGGGAGATCCCTGAATGGCTGGACCTGAAGGCCTTTCTCGAGCAGTTCACGAGAGAAAACAAGCATCCACTAACCTTCAACAGACACAGACTAGAGAGAGGTACGTAATACTACTACATACTATAGTAGAAGAATTCCCTTTGGGTGCCACGGGTATCTGCTTAAATTGATGTATAAAGTATTAGCGGCTAGTATTATAACCCCCATATAAATTCGTATGGACTAGTAATGGAGGCTCTGGACACATTTATGTGTCCGCGACTGGTGTTGGCTACTAAAGGCCAGTGCTGTGTATTACTGACTGAAACAGTTAGGGCACACAACTCTCTAGAAGCGTGGGGGAGAAAACTAAGGTATACCGTGACACAAAACCTCGCCCTATTATCTATGTAATGTGCTCCTGTGCGTAAGCTGTCGGTATGTGAAAATCGCAACATGTCCTATACATCAGTTGTTGAGCAAGATGGTAATATCTGTTTTCAGGTCAGATAAAGGTTCCGCTGCCCAGCGTGAAACCGACCCAACTCTACCACCACATCCTAGCCCACTCTGACGTCTTCGACATGCACACTCTGGAGTTGGGCCCCGCGGGGGGGACGTCAACGGGATCCTCATCAACCAGTAGCATCTGTCTCCACATCGACGTGTCTCCACAGAGCCTCGGTCCCACAACCTCCCCACAGCTCTCGAAACTCTTGCAAGACGCACACGAGAGCTACTCGATCCACGTGGTGGCAATGTGTGAGGACGCCAACCCTCACTGTCTCGTTCTTGCCTTCTACCTCCTCCTCGTGAACCTCCGGGACAAGTTCCCGAGACTCACACGGGATCATCACTCCAGTAGCATCATCCTCGCTCCCCTCTCTAGCCAGTATAACATTCTGCCGAGCCCCGACGAACTGGCGCAACAGAGTTCGGAAACGGAGCTCCACCTGAGCGTGAGGAAGCGCAGGATGAAACTCGGGCTGGACCCGCACCAGCGGTCGGTTTCGTCGCAGCTGGTGGTCGACGGGGCTCTGATAGCGGAGCACATGCGGAGTCTCCAGGGACACTTTGAGGGCGTGGTGAAGAACGCACTGCACCACATGAAAAGAGACGAACTGTGGAAACGAATGCTGTACGGAGGACATAAGACCGATCCTTCCAAACCAGCCATGATGCAGGTGTGCTAGTAATGCAGCTCAATGTATTTTAGTATGGTGAAATTCTCTGATCAAACCGATGTACAAAACACTCTCATAGAGATAATGCAGTTAAAGTGCATTAATGTTGAGAACATTATGTTTATAGCTCTTCACTTTATGGTGTTTGTAGCATGTACAAATACAGTCATGGACCTATGCAGAGTTTAAGTATAATGTACAGTCAGGACAGCCCAGCCTGTGTGTATCATTATCGTCTGCCTCACTTTCTCCCTCAGGCGTCATTCGAGCAGTTGAGATGTGACGAATTTCGAGATCTCCTTCGACTGGTTACCGTGTGTCCACTGGAGAAACTGGACCCCCAGCTATCGGCCCTCCGCAGACAGACCAAGAAATGGTTCCGCCGTCTCATGAGGTTTGCTCAGAACCTCTCCTCTACCTATACTTCAGTCCAATGGAAGTACAATAGTTCAGCCAAAACTAACCTGAATTCAGTATAGCATACATTCATAAGGTACAGGTTGAAATGTTGAATTTTGGCTTAGCTGTGCATGGTACGGCTAAGGTTTTCTGTCTTGTGTTTTGTAGTGCAATGAAGATCAGGTTCTCAGAGAGTGTCCGAGTCTACAAGACTGAGAGTGAAAACTACTTTTTTACTGTAAGACACACCACTATACTCTTTCTGTCTTTACACGAGTCTCCTGCCCCCTAATTACAGGTGGTAATTAACCCCGACTGGGCTGATATGGTTGTCCTGGCTCAGTCCGACAGAGACGGAAAGTCACAGGGAATGTACGCTGTCTACCGCAAGCCAAAGGAAGGTAGTTTGGTCCCGCAAGACCAGAGGCCCCTCACGGCTCACGTGGAGGCCGACCGACAACACATTGAAAACATCGTCAATTTCTGCTGCTGCTATCTGTGGGCCAGTATGCTTGACAGTACCCCTCCCCAACCTCAGTTGAATCTACTCTAAATGTTATGTAGTGTGTGTGATGATGCGTGACCCCACCACCCGCCAATTTTTTAAAATAACTGCGCATGCGCATATATACGTCACATTGTGGGGTTTTCCCTTCAAACGTCTTGATTGCCACGTATGCAAGGTTGACAAAACTGTGTGCACGTTGCTTGCTTTTCCGTTGGTATATAGCTGCGACAGAGATGAGGTGAGTTTACTGTAGAACCGAAAACCCTTGAGAGAAACGTAATGGCTACGTTGATCATTCCAGAGGCCGCAGAGAGCGAGAGTTTTCTGCACAGACTAACTCCTCCCCCCCAGCCCAAGGCTCTACAGCGGCTGCTGCAGGAGTCCCTGTCGGTGCTGTCTCACTGGTACTACGACAGTCACGGAGGGGGAGATGAGACGGGGAAGGTAGGAGACGACGGGGGAGAAGGGATTCCGCTCGTTCAGCTGTCTTCAAGCCCGGCTCCTAGACTCCATCCCACTGCTGAGAGCTGTCTCTCTTCGCTCAGAGCCGGGACCGCCTCCATTGCGACTGGTGGCGCCTCTCCCGACTTCCTCAACCTACCTGTAAGACAAACACACAAGAAGTCAGATCTTGGATTTATTTTTTCATCGTGAAAGGTCGGTGTTCATCTGCACATATTCTCCTTCCTGGACGCCAGATCTCTCTGTCAACTGGCGCAGACCTGTGGGTACATGCACAACTTGACCCCTGACCCCTTGCTCTGGACGCGCCTCCTAGAGAGGGACGTGCAGTGCTGGAACGTGATTGGTCACCTCTCGCACCCCCAGGTGTACCACGAGGTCTCCTCTGACCTCAGCCCGAAGCAGATGTGAGGAGATAACTTCACATTATACATTACGTGTATATGTACATGTAGGAGATAATAATATTAATGTACATTACGTGTGTAATGGTTAGAAAGCTGCATGCATTTTTACCGTGTTATATAAAGTGTTTAAAGTCTGCTGCTTCATGCCTCTGGCAAAACAAGCAAGTCTGTCTTCTGAATTTTTATTCAGGCGGTTTACTTAATTCCAAGTACGCATAAAACTGATGAAATTTGAACTCCTGTTTGCTCTATGGCCATGGCGTTCCATTCTAGCTGAATAAGTATGACATGGAATGTGTGGAGACTTGTAATTCTGTTTCTGCAGCTATTGTCGTTGTCTGTGTCATCGGGACAGGAGGCCACGGCAGTCGTTTGCCTACCCCATCACCGGCCGACTCCGTTCCCTGTTCCGCAAGATCCAGGGCCACGTTCCACGTCTGCTCATGTTTGGTTCCGGACTGGAGTCCGTCCCGCTGGTCCGCTCCATGCTGTGGGAGGCTGACTCTCCGTATCATCCCATCGGCCTCTCCCCTGGCAAAGACGGTGTGTACACTTATGTCGTATGACTGAAACGTTTGAAAGACACAAAAATCTTGCAACTGTCAAAGTGTAGTACTCCACACCCACACACATCGATTCTGCCTATATATTACGTTCAAGAAGGCCTTCCGCACAGAGTTAGTACATGAATTACATTGGTTACTGTGATCGTATATGTCTAGGTGTGGAAGTGGTGTTTGCATTCAGCACCGAGACACTGCAGTCAACTTGATCACTCTCTATACTTCCACCAGGTGACCCCCCTCTCTCTCTCTCTCTCTCTCTCTCTCTCTCTCGCGCGCACCATTATCCTTCTTCCTCGCCTATTCTCACTCTCTCTCTCTCTCTCTCGTCTTCCTCCAGAGCAGAGAGGGAGGCAGCTAATGCAGGGCAGCGGGCCAGAGTCAACAAACTCATGTCAGCAGTCAGCAGTGGGCAGACAGACAGAGAAGGAGAAAGGGAGGGAGAACTGACTCCAGCATTACAACAGCTCTGCAGAGAGTCTGATGCAGCCATACTTGTTGTGGATGCTGGTCACTTCAATGAAGACAGTAAGACCCTGCTTTGGGAACGAAACCTTTATGACCTTTACACTCATGTGTGGCCAATGTCATTAATGTCTCAGTGTCTTTAGCCTTGAGCACATGATCCATACTCTATTCCCCTCTCTCTCTCTCTCCCCCACAGCAGTGAAACGTGGACTGCCTGATGCTACAGTCAGTGCTCTCTGCCAACACCCTCCAGACCACACCCCTCCTCGTGTTGTCATGCCAACCAAATGAAACCTCAAACGACGACAATTCGGCAGTGTGTCAGTCGGTCATGGAGGTTGCTAATGGACTACAGCTCTGTGACTTGCATCAACCGTGGCAGGTAAGTTACACGCCTGCACCCTCCACTAAACTATGGTGTGCACTATAGCTTCTCCTGTATATACTCCCCCATCCGATCTATACTCATGTCTGCAGGTGAGGTCCCTAGTCCCGAAGCAGTACCAATCCCTGCAGGCCGGAATGGACTGGCTCCTAGGAGCTGCTAACCTTTGACCTAACGCACACACCACCATTGTCTTCTAAATGTGAAAAAGAACTACATTATGATCGATGTCAAAAAAAACTGTTAATTTAAAATGTTCTACAATGAGTGGTGGCTGGAGTCATGCTAGAGGGGGGTTTCCCTGTGATGTCATAGAATGTGTTTTGCGGCAGCTGTTTTGATGACTTTTGCCGCCTTTTCCAACTCGTCCTCGGAGAGCTCCACACACACTGTCACTCTCAGACTAAATACAAGAGAGATACAAATGACATATTATAATACTACCCACTTGTAACAACATGTTTGGGGTTTGCTAACAAGTGGGAACAACTAGTGGAATGGGTGATAGAGCATGTGACCTGACCTCTTCCTGACCATTTTGCACGCTTCATGCACATGCATATATACACCTAGCCCAGACATTATGGTCAGATTGTACAAGACTTCATCTACACCCTTATTGACACAATTATTTTCACAGATGATCCGAAAAAAGAACACAATTTGAGAAGCAAAATTCGCTGCTAAGATAGACTTATCTTTCATCGAAAACCTCTGCCACTACCACTACGGTGTACTGTTCTGCGTGTATCAACAGCAGCAGATACATACGTACCTGGCCGGTGGTAGTTTCAACTCTTCCTTGAGGTACTTGGCAACCACCACAGCCACTCCGCTGTCGATGCACTCCCTGGCGACACGTTCCAGGAGCTCGTCGTCGGTATCCCGTGACGACGAGGGGCAGGCCAGCTGGAGGTGAATGACGGGATTGACAGACTCGCCGCACACCCGAAGACCTGGGGTCCTGCAGACCAACAGAAGATGTACATATACACACATGGTGTAAAAATACACTACATGTGACCACTGCGTCATTTTTGCAATAAATTTGGTGTAGTCACAAATTCTAGACAGCTTTCTTCCGTACATACAATGCCTATACCGCACTGCCACGGAATGACTGATTTCCGGTCCAACGGAAATGTATGGGATTGAACTCACGACAATAACAAACTTATGACATGAACTGTTCAATTCTTATCCCTTCCTTCATTTTGACTAGTGTGTAAGAAACATAGAATTCTGTGCCAGTAACGAAGCAAACATGTTACCCCCTCAGCTCACACTATGACATGACATGTTTCAGTTCTTTTTTCATTTCTTCCCATTTTGACAAGTTTGTCTGACACATCTCTATCCCACTCACTCACCCACGAAGGAGGCGTCTCATGGCCACAGCCTTGTCTCTGAGCTGGGAGAAGATCTGTGGGGATCCCTCCATGATATCCAGACCCTTTATAGAGGCAGCGGCCAGCATGGGAGGCATGGAGGCAGAGAAACAGTAGCCGATGCCGGAGAGCCGCTGATGGTCCACGACGTAGGACTTGCCGGCACAGAACCCTCCCGTGCTGCCCATTGCCGTCTCCAGTGACGCACATATCAGGTCTACATCACCTGGCTGAAGATGAGAGAGGGGGAGACAGACACTCACAACTCAGGAGGACAAGTGAGACAGTTTTCAAGCCTTCGTAATTATATATCGTGACAGACAAGCATAAACAAGTCAGTAGTGGTTCGTGTGATGGGGGTCTTAAATGCCTGCAAGTAAACTTGGTTTGCCTGTGACAACAGTAAGAAGCTGTATGAAAATAGGTTCAAGGTCTTACCTTTAGCCCCCAGTGTTCAGTTGCCCCGCGACCGTGTTCCCCCAGCACGCCAAAACTCAGGCTCTCCTCCAGGAAGATTGGCGTCCGATACCTGTTGCGAAATTCCACCAGCTTCGGCAGCGGGCAAAGGTCGCCGTGGTTCATGTAGAGCGCTTCGGCGACTATGAACTTTCGGGTGACTTTTTCTTTTGCGGGGTTCTGCCGAGGGAAAAGAACTTAATCTGAAAAAAAGTGGTTCATGGAAAAACACGCTACCTAACTAACCTTTTTGTCTAGTTTCAGCTGTTCTTCCAGCAGTTGCTCCAGGTGGTCCATGTCGTTGTGTCTGAAGTACTTGATCTTACTGCGAGACGCCGCGAGGCCCTTCTGAACCGCAAAACACACCCCCTCGTCACTATTGCATGCGTGTTTGGGATATGCAGACACTATAATAAGAACATCATTGTCTATTTGGTTCAGTCGTATATAAATTGCAATTGTTTCCCTTCCCACTTGAAACGAAGCACTTATAATACGTTTGCCGAATGTATAAGTGCAAAAAATGGGCCTCTTTCATCCTTTCAGAATCACAAACGGCTGTGTCCAACTAGCGTTTTTGCCGTCCACATACCCCCATTAGAATTCTGAAAGAAGTTTGCAATACACAATGAAAGGGACTGGTAATGAGAAGGAGAGAGGGGATGGGAGGCCAGCTCACCAAAAGATGATATCTCTTCTCTTAGAGTAGGCAGGAATGGCAGACGAGATTGTGGCAAACCCGTAAGAGTAGATTATGGCTTCTTCGCGACCTGTGAACTTTGCAAGTCGCTCCTCCAACTCCAGATGGATATCTGCACCATACAGAGATGGCTCTTAGCCGCAAAGACTACAACTTCGATCAAACTTCAAAACTGCTAATCCACACTCTGAAAACTTACGTATGATAATATGGCACAAAGTATTTACGGTGTGTGTGTGCAGTTGCAGTTGGAGTTGGAGTTATATAATCTTACCTACAGTCCCATAGAAGCCCCCTAGGTCCACAGGACCCGACTCCATACTTCTTTATGGTGTTTGCAGCTGCCTCCTTCACCTCCGCGTTCCCGATGAATCCCAGGAAATTGAACGTCGCCAGATTGAGGCAGTCCCTCCCATTAACCACTACATGAGCCCCAAGTGAACTAAGACGAAAGAGAGACATTGATTACGGCACAGATGATAATTACTTTTCGTTCGGTTGAACATTTTTCAAGCAAAACAGATCTCTGTGACCTCATAATCAATCTGGCACACAAACACACTCAGACGCAAACACACTCAGATTTTGCTGACATCAGCACTTTCTCTCCAATAAATTCCCCACATGTGTTCTGCTCATTATTACTCTCACCTTGAGACGACAGGGGCTGGATCAATCTCTCGGTCGTTAGGGTAATCGGCAGGTACCAGCGGCTCTGGTTGCCACTCGGCTATCAACTCGTCCTCTTCCTGACAGAGAATAATCAATGACGTCATCATTGCATCATCACGTGGCCGAGTATTGAAGGGCACACCTGTTCGGTGAGCTTGTCGTGTTTGGACTTGGGCCGGTACTGCTTCGAGAAGACGAGTAGATAGAAGATCCATAGGCCCAGCACTACCTCAATCACCACGTGATAAGTAGGGGCCTGTAGTAAGAGGGAGTGATAAACATGTTCAATATTCAGAAGTTCAGTAAATGGGTTGTGTGGTTTGTGTCATAGAGGTAGCTGTCTTACTTCTGTCACGTAGAGAAGTATCGCTTCAAACACGGAGCTGGGGTTGTACGCCGGCGACGCCATAGGCCCCCAGCTTGGTATCTACCACGCCTTCAGAGCCGAGAAGTCGCGCGATCTTCGAGGAATTCTCGTCCACTGACGCCCTTTGCTGCTCACACCAGATGCGCTCTCTCTCGCGCATGAATATCGTGCCACGCCCTCACCTGAGCGCGTCGCGGGAGAAATCCTGCAATCTGATTGGTCATATTCGCTCAAATCAACCACGCAATGTGCGATATTCCATTTGACGCCCATCCACTGCACAGAGTGGCGAGATGTGCACGGAACGTGCGTCGCCTCTTTCGAGATAACAGCAAGCCATCTGCCTATATAGGCCGTGGTACATCAACCCTCTATCCATAAAAACTCCAGAATATTTCCAAAGAGATGCCGGTGACTTCAGCAGGAGCCAAAGTTGCGTCCCTGGAGGCAGGGAAATGGCCCGAGGACGTGGGGATCCTCGCCGTGGAGGTCTACGTCCCTCGTACGTGCGTCAATCAGACGGAGCTGGAGGCGTTCGACGGAGCCAGCGCGGGGAAGTACACGATTGGGCTCGGCCAACTCAACATGGGTTTCTGCGGGGATCGCGAAGACGTCCACTCGCTGGCGCTGACGGTGGTCCGCGGGCTCATGGAGCGGCACGGCGTGGCGTACGAAGACGTGGGGCGGCTGGAAGTCGGCACGGAGACCATCCTGGACAAGTCCAAGTCCACCAAGACGGTCCTCATGCAGCTCTTTGCGGAGTCTGGGAACACGAGCGTGGAAGGGATCGACACTACGAATGCGTGCTATGGCGGGACCCAGGCACTTTTCAACGCCGTCTCGTGGGTCGAGAGCAGCGCCTGGGACGGTGGGTTCTTACTCAAAGCGATAAAAAAATGTTAATTTTTTCCTTCTGTTTTTCCAGGTCGTTTTGCAGTGGTCGTGGCAGCAGACATTGCAGTGTATGCTTCAGGTAATGCCAGACCCACTGGCGGTGCTGGAGCTGTGGCCATGCTCATTGGTCCTAACGCCCCACTTGTCCTCGAGAGAGGTAAGGCAGCCACTGTGTTCCACCCAAACCTCCTTTGTATCGGTCTAAAAATAGGATTTGTGTGATGTAATCGCATAAAGTTCTGGGCATGATAGTCTGCCCAGTTGTACTTTTCTCTTCTTCAGCTTCTCAGTATAAATAGTATCGGTCTAAAAATAGAACTGTGTGGTGTAATTGCATAATTTTCCATGCATGGTAGGTCTGCGCAGTCTTCACATGGAGCATGCCTACGACTTTTACAAGCCCAACCTCAGCTCTGAGTTTCCGGTGGTCGACGGGAAACTGTCCATCCGGTGCTACCTGACGGCCCTCGACAAGTGCTACCAGAGATACAGCGAGAAGGCCGGGGGAGTCACGCTCGCCAACACAGACTACCTCATTTTTCACTCCCCGTTCACCAAACTGGTCCAGAAGAGCCTCGCGCGACTCAAGTTTATCGATTTCCTGCGTGCCTCGGCGCCCGACACTGCCGAGAGTGCAACATACGCCGGCATGGAAAGCCTCACGTAAGCATTTTACTCACTTTCTCTCAAACTTTCTTCTCTATTCACTTAGTGGTAGGACTCTTGAGGACACTATCGGAGATAAGACTGTCGAACGTCTTCTGGTGAAAGTCTCCAGTGCAGAATTCTCTGCCAAGACCTCTGACAGTCTTCTGCTGGGGAGAGAAGTAGGAAACATGTACTGTGCTTCTCTCTATGGTGGACTGGCTTCTCTATTTGCCACGTAAGCCGAGTAAACCCCTTCAATCGAGGAAGATCTATATTATACACTTTCTCGTGTGCCCAGGACTTCTATAGAGGAACTGGCAGGGAAAAGGGTGGTGCTGTTCTCGTACGGTTCTGGACTGGCTTCAGCCATGTACTCGCTCCGTGTGTCAACTGATGCTTCGCCAAAATCACCGCTAGCTACGTTGGCCTCTGGCTGCACCGACCTTCTCAAGCGACTCAAGGACAGAAAAACCGTCCCTCCAGCTGAGTTTGAGAAAAAGATGAAACTGCGCGAGGACACGCATCATCTGGCTCCCTATACTCCAGTGGGAGAGCTGGAGGACCTGTGGCCAGGGACCTACTACCTGACTCAAGTGGACGAGAAACACCGGAGGACGTATGCTCGTCTGGAGGGGCAGACCCTGACTAACGGGACACATTCCCTAAAATCACCTGCCATGGAACACATCGATGCAAATGGGACCTCATGATGTGTGACACTTTTTATACAGCCAAGTACTAGTCTGTTAGCGTTTCAGTTCTGGTTTTTTTCAGAAAAGTTACCTCTGCTAGCTGCGTGTGCATCGCATGCGCGCGCATTTTTCTCATGTCACGTGCGAGCGTGCGCGAAACGAGATCCTCCCCCTTTTATGTTACTGACAGCGACTGTTGGAAAATGTGGTGGTCACAGCTTTTGGCTCTAGCTCTGTGGACGATGCAAGCAGGCAAGTTGCACCCTATGTCGTTATACCGCTGCTCACTTAGTAGCTATGTTTCCATGGTCGGGTTTAGGCCGGTGTCAGGTGGAGTTTATGCCGCCTGCGTACACTGTCGTGGTTCCCGAGACTCCGGCCAGCGACTCAGACGTTCCTTCCACCCTCTCTGTCCCTTCTACTGAAGTGACAGTCGATACGTCCTGCAGTAGCGACGTTACGGATCCGTCCTTCATCAGATACGCTGTTCTAGGCGACACTACCGTTGGTTCCATCCACGAGACGACGGGCGAGTTTTCAGTGGCGCTGGAATCTCTAGACTACGAGGCCCAGTCTCGCTACTCCGTTAGTCTCCTCTGCTGCCTTATCTCTGATCCAAGCATCAACGCAACTGCAGCCCTCACCATAATTATTACACCGATCAACGAGTACCTCCCCACAATCTCTACGAGTGTAAGCCCCTACACTACCATCCCCGAAACTACCCCAGCTGGTCTAGCAATAGCTGCTGTGGATCCCATAGGTCCACAAATCCCCTACAATACTAATGATAGAGACGGTGGCCCAGATGGAGTCATTTTATACTACCTGCTTGACACCCAGCAAGAACAATTTTTCGACCTGGAAAAATCGACGGGAACTTTGCTACTAAGGGCTGCTCCCGATATCGATACTATAGCAGACATTTCTGAAAGTTTCAACATCAAAATCGCTGCCTGTAATGAACACATTGAGGTTTTAAAATGCAATACCCTTTCTCTGATGGTGACTGTTTCTGCTGCAAACGATGTCGTTCCTCTATTCGAACCTCCAGTATACCCAGTCTCTTTGCTGGAATCGGCACCCACTGAATCCCTGGTGGCCCAACCTCTGTGTGTGGATGGGGACATTGGAGCAGGCAGTAGTACAACTATTTCATTCCACGGTGAAACGCCTGAAATAGTACTGGAGACTTTTCTTCTCAATTCAGCCGGAGAAGTTGTTCTGCAGACAGGACTGGACTATGAGGAAGGGCCAGTTAGCTACAAGTTTGAGTTAGTGTGTTCGGATGGGGACAATGAAGCAGTTGCAGAGGTCCTGGTGGTTGTTCTACCAGTCAACGATAATCCTCCGAGGTTCCTGGAGGATCGCTACAAATTCACCGTCGATCGTAGCTCGCCATCTGGTCACACTGTGGGCAGAGTGGAAGCAGAAGATGAGGATATTGACGCTGGAAGCAACATAACTTACGTAATCGACGACTCCTCGTATTTCACGGTTGATTCGCTCACCGGTGACATCAGAATCAGGGATTACATCCCATCCTCAGCAGGTTCTCATTTTCAGCTTCAGGTCTTGGCAAGCGACGAGGATTTCTCTGCCAATGCATCAGTGACTGTGTCAGTCAATGGGGCTCTGTCAAGACCTGAGTTTGCCGGCATTGTGGCTGGTGTTCTGATCTTTATTTTACTGGTGGTCACCATCCTTTCCCTAGTCGGAGTTTGTGGCTGCTGCTACATCAGAACTACCAGACGAAGGTAATGTCAGTATTTTAGCAAAAACTTTACCGATCTTGTTTAGAGAGTGCTGGAAAGTGTTCTAGCGGGTGTTGTTTAGGGACGTTTTCATTCACAACTGTGTATAAGGCTATCACCTTTCGCACACACAGTGCCTATGCAGTGGACAGAGCCACATTAAGTGCCGACACAACACCCTCCCAGAAAGTGGTACGATTTGCAGACGAGGAGTTCAGTCAGTACTTTCCTTCACCGTCACGTCCACTGGTGCTGACAAACCAATCGACTGGACCCCAGTCTCTACCAGGAGGAGACCTCTATTCCTCACAGACCCCTTACTCCCACCACCAAGGGACCGAGGATCGGGGGGTGGGGACAACAACAGTCTCCCCACCAGCCAACGAACAGGAAGAAACATCATTTGTCGCTTAACAAACTGCGCATGATATAATTATAATATTCCACGTTTCGTGTTTGTTTCTGACGAATCGTGACATTTTAAACTACAGAATTTGAACAATCTTTCTCTTGCTCTTTCCTACTTTTCTTGTCTACCTTGTGTTTTACTATACACATGGTTGTTAATGATAATAATGATACAGTTTTCACAATAGACAATAGACGACTCCTACAGCTATAAGGACAGTCACTGGTGTTTACTCCTCAGTGAATCTCCATCTGTGACCTACTCCCGGTACAGGGGGCGTGGTTATCTGAGGAAACGCCACCTCTTCGCTGCAGTGGGAGTTAATAATGAGAGGGGGAGGGGGATGAGTGATTGGCACAGGGGGAGGGAATGACGAAGAATTTAAAAAAATCCATCTCACCACTAACCTGGTGACATTTTCGTGTGCCTCGCGCAGTAAAGCCTGGCTACCTGTTACCACAGGTGGTGCCACTTCCCTTCTCTGTGTAAAAATGGGTGGGAAAGGGAAGATATTTTCTATCACCAAATTTCTCTATCTTGTTATAGTCGGACCGGGTCTCTTTGGCAGTAGTGGTTGTTGTCCAGTTTGTGAGCCACGCCAGGTGGAAGATTGGGCTTCTCTACGAACCGGCTGGATATGGAACCTTTCTTGTAGAACCACGGATACTGATCCACGCTTTTCTGTGATGAACATAGGGCATTGGTGAGTGTGGAAATGAAGAGTTAAGACCTACATACCCCTCTTAGAAGATCTCTGAACCAGCAGACTAGTCTACCGGGCTGTCCCGGCGGTCTACGTGCCATTGGTGAGCGTCTCCCACTGTCTGTCTGAAAACAACAAACCTTTCTCTAAATATAGCGCACCTTTGCAAAGGGGGCAAAGGTCGCATGAATTATGAATTACTCGTGCCACACCTTTCTTTTCGTTTTTGTACACAACACGCCTCCGATCCCCCTGTGCAGTGAAGAATGGAGAAGAAGCTGGGGTTTGGATGCTGGGAAAAACTGCAGGCGAGCGGCTCTGCACCGTCCGTGAGGTTCGGCCACTCGACGGCTGTAGTGGGAGACTTTCTCTACGTGTTCGGAGGCGGTAGCTACAGTGACGGGGAGGAGACGGTCTACCACAACGATCTATTCACGCTCGACTGTAAGTACAGCAAGCAGAGAGAGTTTTACCGGCATTACAATTGTATAAAGCCGCCAATTTGCGCCTAAAGTTACGGTCGTACCTGTGTGGTGTGCAGGTGAGAAATTGATGTGGAGTTGTGTTGGACAAGAAGGCGATGTCCCCACACCAAGAGAGGGAGCTATCCTAGTGTGAGTCCTCCGTAATACTGCTGTTTAAACACTTTTCTCTGTGCTAGTTCCCCCTCGCAATCCACACCAACACATAAGCACTAATGTGTAGATGTACATACAAATAAGCAGAGCACTGTTTCAAAGACACCTATTCTTAGAGATAATAGACAGTGATCTTCGCCCATTTATTCTAGCAACACTTCTTTTAACTACTGCTTCTTTTCTTCTAGTTACCGTGATGTAACCAAACAGCAATTTACTATCCTCACCCATCTCTCTCACCCCCTCTTACTCTCTTCCATCCCTCAGAGCTGTAAGTGGGTCTCTCTATCTCTATGGTGGTACTGACAGAGAAGGCGCCACCTCCTGCGCTCAAGGTCTCTTTCTCTTCGACACAGGTGAGAGGAAGACCCCTTAATTTCCGCTCATTTGTACTGTTATTGTTTGAATAGAATCTCTAGACTCTTTCCACTTCCTCACTCACACTCTTTTCATCATTTTTTCTACCGTTTGTGTTTGTATACTTCTTGATGCTTGATGATGATATTGCTAGCTGGGGACACTACTGCACGTAGAAAATATACCTGTTCTTTCTCTGCCACTCGATGCACCCCCACACGTCAGTGAGCTGCGAGTGGACTAGACAGAGTACAAGCGGCTCTGCCCCCAAGGCAATGAGCATGTCCGGAGTCCTCTGCGACGGAAAGATTGTCACGTTCGGTGGAGTCCTCTCGGGGAAGGGCTGCAGCCGTCCTACACTCTTGAGCTCTCGAGGTCAAAGCAGAGCCAGAGCAAGCACCTTATGTGGGATATTATCTAGGGAGAAACTTTCTCAATTTGGCAACAAGTAGGGATAAAAATTTTGCGGATAGCAATACAAATTAGTCTCGCCCACACAAAATTTGCTGACAAAAAAACCCTCCGTCGTTGAACCTGAAACTGCAAAGAATGCATAAGATTTCGGTGGCGAAATTTTTTCCATGTGGCTGTGACGGTGCACTGCCTCTCATTGAGAGTTGGAGAAATTGAGAGTTGGTTTTGTCTGTTTTAGAGTCTTTGACGTGGAGTGAGGTCAGTGTCCACGAGAGACAGCCAAAACCTAGGTAAGTGCATGCGTACACAACTTGCTTCAGCCGTTTGCTTAATAGCCCCGGAAAATGACGATGTTTACATAACTGTACACAACATTGTATATACTGTTATTGAGCTACAAACTCGTCTCAAAGTGATGAAATAAACTCTCTTGCTTTTCACTTGCTCCTTCTTGTTTTGTCGTGACGATTGCATGAAGAGCTTACGCATTTTAAATTTTAGAGCAGCAGCCAATTCCCAAATGCCATCACAGCTCTAAGGGGGGGGTTCTTTCGAAATTTGTTGGGGGAAATGGGGGTGGATGATACTTGGGGTGGAATCAGCTGTTAAAGGCATGTTGTTCAACGCTTTCGCTTTCTTTTTGTATAAGTCCACTTTTTTTTTTCTCACTCTGTTCAACGTGTTGTGTTTGTTGGTGTTTTGTCAATCTTTTTTTGGTCTTTGGCATGTTGAATTTTGTGTTTTTGGTTATTTTTTTTTGGCGGGACAGAGCTTCACAAATTTAGTTTTCTCCTCCCTCTCTTCCTTTTCCGCAGACTCCACAGCGTGGATAAGACTAAAGATTACTCACACATCAGCATCCCAATTCGCACAAACATTTCCAACCAATGGCCTTGGTCTATTATAATGTTTATACGAACGCATACATTGTCATATATGCTCATTGCAGATGTGACCACTCGTGTGCGGTGTTGGGAGGGAGTGTGTACGTCTGCGGAGGCATGGGGAGCGACGAACTGTGGTTCAACGATCTCCATCGACTGGCTCTGGACCCCCTGGAGTGGAGGGAGGTGGAGCAGAGGGGGAATCCCCCTCTCCCTCGCGACTACTCCACACTAGTCACCGTCAGTGACTGGGTGAGTTGCTCTACAATGTAGATCTTTCTTTTTTGCTTCGTGAAGCAAGTCTACTTCGTATTTTCCTGAGGCTCAAACATCCCCACCAAAATCTTGGAAATTAGACACACCTTATGTCCATTCCTAGCTGCAATGCTGCATATATAATAGAGGGTTGCTTCTCTCTCTCTCTCTCTCTCTCCCCCCCCCCCCCCCCCAGTACCTGGTGTTGTATGGTGGCAGCAGTGCAATGAGTGGAAATGAAGAGGTATTTTCTGATCTTCACTACATTGACATCACATCAGGTCAGATTACTGGGACCACTTCCATTATCACCCCATCCCCCTTCCCTCTCCCTTCTTCCTCTCTTCTTCCCTTCCCTAACAATAATTATATCTCTCTGAAAGTGTTTCAGATTTTCATTGTTTATTGTGCATGCATGCACCCTGACACACGGCATAAAATGTTTCTCTGTGAGGTAATATTGGCACTAAAAACGAAAAGGACTGGTTTGTAAGAGCAATAGCCGAAGGTAAACGCTCCATGGAATTGTATCTGTGTATCTACTGTTCAGGGAGTCCAGAGTGGTGTTCGGTGGAGGTGGAGGGAGGTAACTCACCTCCTCCCAGATACGGCCATTCCATGGTGGTGTGGACAAACAAGGTGCCAGAACTGACTACAAACCTTCACTCTTCTCGCTCTATAAGCTCTAATGTTCCATTCAACCCTTTTCTAAGCTCTAATGTTCAAATTCAGCCCTTTTCTAAGCTCTAATGGTCAAATTCAGCCCTTTTCTAAGCTCTAATGTTCAAATTCAGCAAATTCACAGCCCTTTTCTAAGCTCTAATGTTCAAATTCAGCCCTTTTCTAAGCTCTAATGTTCAAATTCAGCCCTTTTCTAAGCTCTAATGTTCAAGTTCAGCCCAATTGGGCAGTTAAACTCCAAGTAATGGACACATTGGGGAACCGCTTTATAGGATTTGTCCGTCACTCTCTTTGGAGGTCGAAAATTTACTAGAAAAGTGAACGTTTGTGGCGTCAAAGTGTGTCCTTTATTGATAGGTTGTTTTTCTATTATGTCCTTGATTCTGGGTATCTTTTTATCAGAAGTTGTACTGTATCTGCAGCTGCTCGTGTTTGGAGGACAACAGAACCGACTCTTAATACCATGAAGTCGGAGCATTGATCACTCCGGCCCCTCAACA